GTCATCTACAAGCTTTGCAAGTGGGAAAACCTGAAAAATCAACAGTGGATCAAATACTTGTTCTCCCCACTGTATACGTACAGTATATGTATGTAAAACCCCCTTTTGTAATTGTGACTATTTTCATAGCCAGTCTCCCTACTTTCTTTTATTTATCCTTTTTTTTTTGTTCTTCTCAGGGTTATATTATATATAATATTTTTTCTCCTGTTACTGTAAGATGTAATAATGTAATGTTCCAAGTGAACTAATAAAAACAACTTTATTAAAAGAGAGCTATCTGAAACAGAAATGTATTATTCTTCATAAATTAAAACTGAAGTCATAAGAGTCCTTTTCCATTTTTTTTCACTTCCAGGATCAGTAACTTCTAAACAAACCATCAAACCTACTGTAAAAACCCAAACATCAACCAGTGGTGACTACAGCAGCGTCTCACCGGGGGCTGCACGGGAACTAAGAAGATTAAAGGCGTGGTAATGATGCAAAATAGACTTTTCTGAGCAGGATACAGTGGATATAAAAAGTCTACACACACACCTGTTCAATTCTAGGTTTTGTCATGTAAAAAAGTTAGACCAAGATAAATTATTTCAGAACATTTTCCATGTTTAAAGTGAGCTATAATCTGTACAACTCAAACTAAAAAAACTAATAAAAAATATTTTTGTGGAGGGTAAGTAAAAAAAAAATAACTACCATATTTTCCAGACTAAAAGTCACTTTGTAGTACAAGTCGCTTCAGTCAAAAACATGAGTCATGAAGAGGAAAACACTAGAAATAAGTCACACCTGACGTCACAGGACATTTAATCTGGAATAACACAAACACAGAAAACATCGCCCCTGCCTGGGATACTGAACAACCTTAATTAACAGACAGCTGACRCAAGAGTAACTTTGTGTGAAGTGTTTGCAAATACTGTAACTTCAATTTAACTGAACAACATCTGCAGCAAGTTACCAACAACAAGCTAACATTAGCTTACCGTCCTCTGCCATCCTGCCCTCTCGTCATTAGCCTCATWTTGCTCAATGGTCCAACACAGTCTTCAGTTMTTTTCCTTCCAGTTTGGTGTACTTCRTTTTCATTGTGTTGCAAATATAACAAAATAAGATTGACACATTTTAAATGTTGATCCCTGCCGGCGTCTACAGCGAGGCAGCTCTCTGCACAAACACAACCAGCCGGGGACAATGCCTTCAACGAGCCAGTTACCGGTAAGTTCACCAAGTTCATTCATATTACCTGCTTAGCTTTCTTCATTTTCTTTAGTGCAGTAAGGTAACCTCTGCTTTTTTGCAAGTATCTCATAAGTTACTCATTCAATACAAACATCTTGCCAACAACAATAAACAACAACATAAACTGCAGTAATCACAAACCATCTCATTGCTGCAGACAGTAACTTTACTGTAACTGGTTCATAGGGTCAGGAAGAATCAGTCAAGAAATGCATCATGAAGAAAACAAAAAGTCACTCTGGAGTACAAGGCGCAGGACCAGCCAAAMTATGAAAAAAAAGTGTGACTTATAGACCAGAAAATATGATAACTGTTGAAGCACAAAACCTGGAATTTAACAGGTGTGTGTAGACTTTTTCTATACACTAAATGATGTTATAATGTCATTCCCTCATCAAAAACAGACCCAGAGTGTNCAAATCTGCTTATGAATTATAAAAATTAGTAAGACCGCTAAAGCACAAATGAAATATTTAAGTCCGCAATTAGCGGATTTGTGCTTCAGCGGGCTGGTGCCCACCACTGCTAATAACCATTTAATATTGATCAACTGGGGATGTGAACACAAAAAAAAATTAACAAAATATCTAAGAATAAATACAACAGCTGTGATTTTAAAGTCAAACAACACAAATGAAAGCAGAAGTGACGGCCACAAAAACAGGAACAGACAAGCACATGCAAACAAGAGGCATTAGAGGAGYTACAATGTTAAACAGTTCATACCTGGGTCAATGAGAACCTCCTGAGCTCCTACAGGTCCAGAGAGGGGTGGGGGGAGACAGAGGGAGAGAGAAACAGCTTCACTCCACAAAGCAACATTAGGTTTGTTAGTGCCACCTGGCGCCTTAACTGCTCCTGCTTTACAAACCACTAGCAGAGAAGCATTACAGCAGAAACAAATGAGGGGAATTATTAAAAACTAATATTAAAAGGCACAGTGTGTAGGATTTGTTGTTTTCAGCGACATCTAGTGGTTCCTTTAAGGCCACAGTTGGTTGGTTTGAATGGGACCAAGACCAAAATAATATCTTAAACATTTTTATAAACCTTTACACCAACATTATTTTTACATTACAATTATTTCAGCAGAAATACATAATATCATAGGATGTCATTGATATCACGACTTGACATTTTCTTTGCACTTGCAAATAACCACACAGTTTTGTGTAAATAATTGTGTACTGACAAACTGATGATAATGTAAAAGTTGATTTTTAAAGAAATCCACATTAACCTCTATAAAGTATTTGAGATTGGAGTGGTTTTAAGATTGCAGCAGTCCACTTGGTATTGACAAAATTCAGATTAGATCTTAAATAATGAAGCTATTACTGCAAACTGAAATCATTAAAGGAGCTATCTGCACCAAATTGGAAACCTTTTTGGTCATATATTACAGACTGGCAACCAGCAAACTGATACCTGATTTATACCATTATCACGTATTTTGCTAATAATCTTTCACACCTGATTTTGACGGACATGAATACTTCAGGCCTCACAATTCCTCTTTCAAACATATGCTGCACTATATATATAT